GGCCGGGGGGGGGGGGGGGGGGGGGGTGATGTGTTACGTACTTCCTACACTGCTGTTGTGTAGTTTCGTAGGCAGACGGTTCGGCAGCATGACTTCTTGCCGCTCCCATGCGGAAGGTAACTACTGTATGTCCCGCCTCATTCTGATGTCTCCCACGACAGCTAAAATGGCCTTGTTTCTTGATCCGACGCCCTGCGTGCCCCCCGGCCTGCGCGCCCGTGTCACACCGACAACCGCCACCCCCACTCCCGGAAACAACAACGACGGCGACGACGACAAGCACAGGCCAACCGTTGGGAGGCGGCGCACAAGCTGGCATCGTCCTACATGAGTGAGGGCGAGGTGCGGGTGCTGTACATGGAGCAGGCGCAGAAGATGGAGGCCGTCGGCAGCCTTCTCGAGGCGGAAAAACTTTATCTGCAAGTCGGAGAGGTGTGTGTGTCGCGTGAGAGAAGGGAGGGGGGTGGGGGAGGGTGCAGCGCGTATACGTGTCCTACCGTTTGGGCGGCTCGTCGTTTTGTAGCCCTACTGTGGAGAAGGTCGGCGTAATGTAGCGCTTGAGGGACGGAAGGAGCGAGTGCCTATACGCGATGACCAGATCGACAGATCGCGAGGCTGGTGTGGGTGAGAGGAAATGCACGGTTGGGGCTCATGCAGGAAAAAGGCCGGTTGCAGAACTGCTGTCGGTAAGCCCAAGGGGGATGGTGCGGGGAGGAGGTTCGAGAGCGATAGCCAGGCAAGGCATACACATTCCAGCTTACGCTCGAGTCAAGTTGACCTAAGCTACGGCCACTACTATTGCCCACGCGCAAGGTCACCACTAGCGATGGCCCTTTTTCCTGACGCGGATGACCACGCCTAACTGTCACTTGCATTCAAGCATCCCCCTCCCCGCCCTCACCCCGCCTATTGTGTACAACCGCTGTTAGATGGATCTAGCGATCGCCATGTACAAAAAAGCTAAGCGCTTCGACGCCATGGTACGCCTCGTGGCCAAGCACCGGCCGGACGTGCTCAAGGAGACACACCAGTACCTTGCGCAGCAGCTGGAGATGGAGGGGAGCCTGAAGGAGGCCGAGCACCACTACGCCGAGGCCGGGGAGTGGCTCAGCGCCGTCAACATGTGAGGAGCAGATAGTGCAGGCGCGCGTGCGGTTACGCAAGCGTGACGCAGATGACCGACAAAAGAGCGGTGTTGCTGCTTCTTCTGGCATCCCGTTGCTGAAAGGCACCACGATACGACCGGGAACACCGTCTCGCCCGTTGAGACGGCTCCCTCCCGCCCCCCCGACAAACAACAAAAAAGGAATCTCCACTTGCGAATGCTTGCCTGCCCGGCGTTATGGGGCGCACGGACACATAGGGCACCTATCGGCCCACACCGCGTGAGGCGCGCATGCTCAGTATCCCGACCTGAACACTTACTCTCGCTCCCACCACATGGTGTACACCACTTCCAGTCTCCCTGGGCCAAGGTCGTGCCGCATCACGAACCCAACAAGGCTCCTACCATAATATCTCTCCCGCTAACAGGCAAAGCTCCGACGGCACATTCATTCAATCGAAGAAAATAAATGATCAAAATTCGTAGAAAATTCAACGTTCGATAATGAAACCTTCAAACTATGACCAGATAAAAATGGTGACGACTTCGCATAACCATCGGAGTCATCGCTACGTTTTCGTATGTACTCCAAACGAAATAAATGGTAGGTACCGATCGAGCGATATGTGGAACGACGCCTTGCGGGTGGCCAAGTTCTACGGGGGCCAGAGCGCGCACAAAAGGGTCGCGTACGCCTGGGCGCTGGCTCTAGGTGGGGACGCGGGGGCAAAACTCCTCAACAAGCAGGTGAGCGATGGCATGCGACGTGCCGGGATCAAACAACGTCCCTCTCCCTGAAAAGCTCCACAATTAACGTGGTTGTCATGGACTGCGAACTATCGCCTGCAACATGATGCACGACTTGATTCGGGAGTAAATGACCGACCCCGATTCAGTCCAAGCGGTTGCAGCGTCAACAAGATGGACGTGTGTATGTGTTGTTCTCCCGGTACACTATGGACGGTTATTTTCTCCCCTCGTACGTTTTGAAGTTGATCATGCCCACCACCCGTAAGAAACCGTAAGAAACTGATTGTTGAGCGGGTGAAGACCTTTTGCCGACAGCCGGCTTCAGCCGTCCGTCGAAGCCGACCTACTGAGTCTATCTATGCATACGTCTCAAGTACTCTTGCTGCTGCGTGCATACACTCATCCCTCCGATTCACTTGACGCCCCCGATTTGCCAGGGTCTGATCGAGCCGGCAATAGAGTACGCCACCGAGTCCGGTGCCTTCGACCACGCCCTCGAGCTTGCCCAGGCTTGCTGCCCAGCCAAGCTCCCCGGTATCCACCTCAAGCACGCGCTGTTCCTGGAAGACGAAGAACGCTTCAAAGAGGTTCGTACCAAGCCGGCAGCTGAGCAGGCAGGCAACCGTGGTCTATTGACACTTTCCACTTGACGGGCGAGGGGTCGTTCGTCGGCACGGCCTGTCCATTTTTCGCTTTTTCTCTGTGTGTTGTGCTGGATAGGTGCTGAGAGGAACGCAGCAGAAAACCAAACATATCTGTTACTACTCGTCACGCTCGGCAGTATAACCGAACGTGCATGGTGAGCATCCTCGTATTCATGCGTACGGGAAGACTTTTGACGTGTTCCCGCACCTCGGGACGGACCCTTCGGTGGGGAGTAGGAGATTCGAGCGTTCGGGAGAGTAGGCGTTGAGAGTGGGGAGGGGGTGAGAGAGCAGTGGGCCAAGAACGGGCTGTGGGCATCAGCGGCCGGTGGGTGGTTAGGAAGGCAGAGGCGTCGGCAAACGGGGTCAGAACACGAGCAAGCGGCGCGGTCGCGCTCTGTTGCTTCCTCCTCTACTCCCTACTCCCGAAAAGGGAACAATTTGACCGCCATCACGGGTGCCATTCACCGTTACGGGTGTCATTCACCGTTGCTAGCAGAAGCCCACACGGCTTACTTCCCACACTTTTGGTGGGTAAGCTGTGGTATTGTTGTGTCCTGGCTTTGCAGGGATGCGAAGAATATATCCCCGAAACTCCACGGTATGCACGACCACAACCCCCCCCCTCCGCTCAATGTTTGCCATTTCCTCCACAACTTTGAAGGCGGAGATGGAGTTCTTGCAGGCCGGGAAGCCGCGCGAGGCCATCGACATGTTCGTGCACCAGAAGGCCTGGGCCGACGCGTGCCGCGTCGCCGAGGGCCACGACCCCCCCGCCGTTTCCGACGTGCTGTGCGCCCAGGCCACGGACGTTGCGGCGGCGGGGGATCGAGCCGCGGCGGAGGACTTGTACGTGCGCGCCGCCAAGCCCGAGAAGGCGTTACAGGCGAGACCTCGTTCGCCCGCATGTAACGTGGGGTACCTCAGTGTCATACAGTGCGGTCGTAGTATTTAGACTGTGGATTCCTCCCTGGCATCCCTAGGTGCGGGGCGGAAGGAACCACCGATTTTCGCCAACCAGGTGCAGGCGGTTGCAACGTGGGCGGATGGATCGGTGTGGTGTGGGGTCACATGAAGGACGTACTGCATCTCGTGAACCGCTTTGTGAGGCGGACGTTGGTACCTCCGTGCTTGTTTTCCTGTCCGGATGTAGCAAAATCGGAGGGCTTTCGGGAGTGTACAAGGAGAGACCTGACCTCAAGGAAAAATCCCGTCTCAAGCTCGCAGATGCGTATCCACCGAAAATCTCTTACATGGGCCGACCAAATGCAAGTAGCGATGGCGCTAACTACGCACCAACCAAGCGAACTTAACCCCCGTACGTGCACGCGTTGTTGACAGTGCTACGAAGAGGCCGGAATGTGGAGAGATGCGCTTCGGGTGTGCCAAAGGCATCTGCCCCACCTCGCGCACAAGGTCCACGCGCAATACCAGGTAAAAGGCCTAGAAGGGAGTACTACATGAGAAGTGTTGTTGTTGTTGTTGTGCGCTGTGGCTGTGGCTGTGGCTGTGGCTGTGGCTGTGGCTGTGGCTGCCGCTGTGCGTTATTTGTGGTTGTCTTCACAGATATTTCAAGTTAAGCCGATGTTATTTCATTATCCCTTGTTTCGGTGTGCAGACGAACGTCGCGTTTCCAACTATAGCCGAAGATTCAGACCTGTTCCACTATTGTAAGTGTCGCAAATGGTGTCGTTCACAGAGGTCAGGTGCGACCCTGAATGTGCAGTCACCAAATATTCCGTACCTACCCCTCCCCCCTTCGAGCCTGCCCGGGGGAAACCGGACATGGTGCGTCTTTGCCTTTGAAGGATGCGAGCATCAACGCTGCGAGGACTGTGACCATGCATCGCAAGCAGTACCCCTTTCCTGTCCCTCGTGCCCCTCGGGGGCTCTGTTCTCCACAACCTCAACGACGACTGGTCCAACCTTCTTAGAACAAAAGGGCCACCTCTTGTACCACATGCCAACCCCGAGCAGGGAAAAACTCGGCTCTAAAAGCAGAGTTATTCTCGATCACCGTCCGCCCGTTTTGCCGATTGACTCGGCTGGTATCACCCGTGGCCTGTGGCATGGCACGTCACCGCATGACATGAAACGTCGGACACACGCGCATACCACGACGTTCGGGAGAGTTCTAACGTTGTTGTGTATGGTGGTGGTGGTGGGACAACTCGGCACACGAAAACGATCCGTGGTGAACGATCTGAAGGGAAATGACTGATGATGATGTTGGTGGTGGTGCCATGAACTATTACGACGACAACAGGCTGCTCAGGCGATGACCGGTACCGGCGGGGCCAAGGCAGACTACCTCAGCGCTGGCCGCGCTCTGGAGCAGAACAGGGACTGGTCCGCCGCCATCGACGCCTACCTCAAGGTGTGGCTGGCTGGCGGTATCGACGTCCTGGACTGGCGTACCACTGCATCGATGCCCCAAGTAGACCACTTCGGTGTCACCACACTATAGTACCGTATATAGTATGAAGTGGCACTACTACAACTGCTACGCTATCCCCTGGGTACCCTACTCGAAACAACGCAAAGGTCCCGCTGAAATTTTCCCCGTGCGGTGACATGCACGTCGACGGTGCGGAGCAGAAAGCGCTGATACATAGTCTCGCCTTCCTGTCTGCCTTCTGTTGGGTAGCCTTTTACCGTGGAAACCAAAAGGAGTTGTACTGCAAGCCCTCTACTACCATTGACGCCTTTGCCGGGATTTGTGCGGGTCGACGTGCTGCGCTATGTACTGTTACCAGAATCACCGCACGCTCTGCTATTCTCCTACCAAATCCTCCGCTGATCCCACCCCTAGAGTGTGCAAGATAAACCTGATCTATGTGTCTTTCTCTCGAATATTCGTCAAGTGCGTATACCCATCGGCGTATGTAGTTGACTCCACTGCATCTCGAGTTGACGTTGACTGGATGGGAGAAAACCATTTCTTAATTTTTCATCGAAAGCAAACACTTTGGTAAGATGGCGGCATCTCAAGTGCTTTGCTTCTATGGTAAAATTGTTGCGTATGTCCGCCAGGCTACCCAGAGCGCGACGATGAACGCCGAGGACCTGGAAGAGGTGTGGGAGAGAGCCATTACGGTGGCCAGAGTAGACCTGCCAAACAGGTGAGTGAGAGGGGGGGCCGTGGGGGGGGCGTACTCTTATGTTTTGCATGTCTTAGCGGTTAGACCATTGACCACGCGTCCTCGAGAGGACGGAGCATTGTTCCCACAGGACCGAGGGCCGTGGGGGGTGGGAAAGAGGACGTGTGGCCGCCGGCGAATGATACGCCATTTTTTTTCTCCGGCTGCTGCAAGCACTCGCTGTGAAGATCAATTTTCGACTCTTCTGCTGCACGAGAATATACATCACGGGGGCTCGCTTTGGGGTTAATATGTAGAACACTCCGAGTGGTCGAGAAGCTCGTCCTTGATGATGTGGGGGAGTCACCTGCACTTGCCGAGGAAAATTTCCATGTGTAGACAGACCCTGTCGTGTCATTTTCTCCCTGCAAAAGCTACGCTGCATTTACGGTTATTCTTCCCCCTCCGGCTAGTCTTCTACGTTGGCACTGTTCAGATTGAGTTCGACGGAACATAATGGGCAAACGGGGGGTTGCAATCCCCTGACCTACAGTAGTTCACTCATGGATCCAATACGTTGCCCCGCCCCCCTCTCGCCCGATCTTCTGAAATAGTCTATCATGTTACCCTTTCCTCTGCTTGCAAGTGTGCTTCCGACCGGACGTCTCCCCCCCCTCCCCCGAACCTGCACGCGTTCAGGCATATGGAGGTAGTGCGGGAGGTGTCGCGCCGCCTGGCGGACATGGGGAGGCACGAGGCGGCCGCGGAGGTGCTGAGGGCGGCGGACCAGCCGGAGGAGGCGGTGGCCGTGGCGGTGGCCGGGGGGGCGTGGGAAAAGGCGCGAGAATCCGCCAGGGGTCACGGGCAGCTGGCCGAGAAGGTAGACGGACCTCCACGATACTATTGATCGGCACGTGCCTGCTTGCTTCTACGACGCGCATCGTGCAAGTCGAGTACCTCTGACGTGTAGCAACCGGTGTTGTCCTTGGTACGATACACTGAGGATGCATCTGCGAGAGCCTAAACGTACCTTGAAGGGAGTTTGGGATCAGAGGGGTTAGCACTAGCGGTGATGTTGATGGCGGTGACGGTGGGGCGGTGAGTTTGGTGATAAAATGAATGTGTACTTGGACTGTAAGTCTACGTGGTTTGATGGAGTGGTGGTGGTGAGGTGAGGAGGTCGAATGCGTCGTAGCAACCATTTTTTGGTGGCGGAGGTCAGTTTTGGTGACACTCGAATGAAAACGACAACGGCAACGCACGAGTCCATCACGCTCGGGCTCGTTGTCTCGTTGCTTCTTGCCCTTCCTTGCTGTCGTCGCCGTTCCCCCTGCCAGGTCGAGAGCGCGTACCAACAGCACCTCATGCGGGGCGAGGCCACAGAGGAACTACTGCAGATGGGTCAGACAAACGCGGCCCTCGACATTCTCGCACAGAAGTGAGTTCACCCATCTAGCGAAGCAGCTCAGCCACTCCTACACTTACACGATCTGTGCTGTGGGGTATAGTCGGTCACTTTTTACAAGCTGGTTTAGGGTGAACGCCCAACACGTTGTTCTCCACGAATGACGACCGATTCACCCACGGAGCAGAGGAAGAGGTTAACCTGGCCGTCGTAGTTGAGGCCATAGGTGTGACGCTACGGGTACACGTGGGCCTTGGTCAACGAGCATTTAAAATTCGGACCACTCACGTACGGATAGGTCTCCTTCGGGTATTGATTTTGCAAGAAACATTCCTTGTGCAGGCACAAGTCCCCTAAAACATACTTCGAAGTACACGATATTTGTGCCCGAAAAATGTGTGTGTGGAGTAAGTTACAGGGTGATCGCGTCGTCAGGTTCAAATGGCCGACTTTACGGAGAAACACCCAAAGAGTCTCGTCATGTGATTTTTTCCCGTTGTATTTGTCATGGAAGGTCTACAACCATTCTCAAACTCTGAACATTGGATAGTACGAAGTATTAATCTATTCTGCGCTTGTCCACAATGGATGGTAGATGTAACATACTCTGCACTTATCCGCTTTTCGGGGGTCTCGGGGACAGCCCGCGCAGTTACGGCCGCATATGCCTCATAACTAAGAAGATCACTTCACCCGAGTTACAGTGTGTGCATGGAAATAAAAAAGAAACAAAACACAAATGGTAATCTGTGGTTGGGCTGATCATTTCGCGAATTATCTTGGGCATACCGATTAGTACCATGGCGCTTTAACCAACTGATAGCATGGAGTTTAATAGAACGCTCGCACAGTTTGGTCAAGCAAAACCCCTCAGATTTCGAGCGCGGGATGACTTGTGAAGGTTGGATCCTTACGACACTCCAGGAGGACGAATTGTGATATGTTTACCAGATGTTATCCACGTCTTTGATTCCTGAGGATCACGCTATGCATACGCATGTGCAACCTCTGCGGGTTTCCCCCGAGAAAATTGAATGAGAAAGTTGGTGTGGAAGGAGTTGAGACGTTCGCCCTGAAGCAGCTTGCAGTGGAGTTAGATGGCTGGCTCTTTTGGGGGGGGCTTCATGGTGGCCACCGCAATTGTGTCCTACTCGATGCTCGATGATGGTGTCTACAAGATGTTTGGTGATTGGCCAAATGAAATGGTAACCAACAACATCTGATCCTCCCTCTCCCTTTCCCCTTACATCCATCCCTCCCCGACGTCTCGACCTATGCCCATGCACCCCCGTACCGCCCAATATCCTTTTCTGTTGGCTTGCCGACCACCGCCGCCGCCACCGCCAACCTCAGGGGAGAGTGGGACCGATTGTGGGAATCAGCTGCGAAGCAGGAGTCGGGGGTGGAAACCCTTGCCAAGTACGCCGGTCTTCGAGTGAGATCGGTTCTGGACGATGAAGCCAGTTGGGAGAAGCCAGTTTCCGGCAGCGACGACAGGTACGCAACGCACAGGAAGAAGCCCTACACAAAACAAAGAGCAGGCGCGTACTGTGGTACGTGCAGGCGGGAAACTCGTCTTTGGTGTTCACGTCTGTCCTGCGAACTGTCGGGAAGCAAGCGGGGAGGAAGAGAGTGAAACGAAAATCAGTGTAGCGGTGGGAGATGTTCGTCCTTTGTCCTCTCTGCACGCAGCAGAGTAGACAGGGCGGACGGACCGGCGAGTGATTAGACTGGTCGGGGGAGGGCGCTTGGAGGAGCCGCATGGATGGGTGTATCGCGTCGTATTCTATCCGTGCCGACGGGAAAGGTGCGACAACCAGGATGCACAGAACAAGTCGGTACCACATCACGTCCCGGCTGCGTAGGGTCTACACCAGCTTTACCTCAGAACACGGCAAGCCTGCCACAACAAACCTCAACAACCCATGTGTCCTCGTCCTTGCCCACCTCAACCGGTCTCGACCGCGCGTCGCCAGGCGAGAGCTAGACGACGCCGTCCTGGTCCTTCAAGAGAAGGGGGCACCGCCGATAACCTCGGGGCCCGGCAGGTCGTCCTTCGCCGTGGGGGCCGGCGTCTCGAGCGGCAGCGGCGGGCCGGCCGCCGACATGTACGAGAGGCTAGTGAAGGCGGTGCTCGGGAGGGACAAGGAGCCGTCGGCACGGCCCGCGGCGCACGAGACGGTGGAGCGGTTACTCCGGGTTCTGCAAGATCAAGCGCAGAACTTGAAGGTGAGAACAACAACTTGTGTATAAGAGGGTGCTGCTACGGTTGGCGGCTCCGTTTTTTTCTCCCGTGTTTTCTTTTTATGGCGCCCTTCGTGGCGCTGTTTGCCGTGCGGGAGGGGGGGGGAGATGTGTCATATACTTAGAGTACCGCAAAGAGAGCGTGTTCTTGAGTGTGGAGTGGATTCAATCGACAAGAGGATGTGCGGGTCTTGTGCGCACGGATCATGCAAAACACACAAGTTTAGCACAAGTAGAGGCTGTGTGCCCTGCTGTAAAAACGATCGTGGATATTTAGGCTGGAGCGACTATCGACTCTGGTTCGATGGGAGAGACAGAGCGTCCTTCGCTCACGTCGACTACGAAAGTGGCATGTTCTCCCACACACAATCAACGTCTTCACCACGCGGCTCTTTCCGACCCGAAACTTCTTACAGTAACCCCCCCCTCCAATCCGCTGCTCTTCCGCGTCTCCCCCCCTGCCCCCCGCAACCCCCCCTGGCCTCCTCGTACATGTCTCGGCCAAAAAACCAAAACACATGGCAACCTATCAACACCCGTGTCGCGTCGGGTGGCGTCGCGCTGCGCGGCATCCAGACGTCGAACAAGACGTCACCCGCGGGATTCGAGCACCTCTTAATGGCGACACACTACACGTGCCTGATGGGGCGGTGCCGAGAGAAGGGGGGGAAGGACTGCCTCGAGCTCGCCTCGAAGATGTCCATCACTCTGCTGCGGTACAGCGACTTCATCCCCTCCGACAAGTGTTTCTATCAGGCACGTATGAACACAAAAAGTAAGGAGTATGTTTCACGAGCGTTCCAAGTAAAACGTGCTGTGGTGTCGTGTTGTTCCTGTCTTTGCAATGCTCGACCGCTCGTGAGCCAGCGGTTGTAGATGGTGCGAGCGTCGGTGCCAGCAAGTTCCGTGAGTACAATGCTTGCCTATGCACCCATGAAACACTTGCGTGTTGCGCCCTGCGCAAAACGCTTTTGCAGGACCGGGGTGCTTACCTTGTAGCGTCTCCCTCTACCATCAGCCGAACAACGTAAAAGTATGCAAGGGCCATCATGCTCGAAACCATGCGCAGCACGGCAAGCAAGAATGTGTTTTCGCTGGCTTGAGAGGCATGTAGTTCTTGGACTCCAACACATAACCAACCCACCACCACCACCACAATAAATCAGGCTGGTTCGCTGTGCAAGGACCTCGGCAACGAGAACCTCGCGTTCGTGCTGCTCAACCGCTACGTGGACCTGACCGAGGCCATCGACGAGGGAAACGCCTCCCTGCTCGACAACTCCGATTTTGCGGAGGCCACGAACGTCCCCCTCGTGGACGACAGGACCCTCCCTACCAAACAGGTACCCCATAAGCAGGAGGACTGCTTCTTGCCAAGAAACGTTCGGGGATTCGTCTTACTATGGGTCGCCCAAGTTCATGTAGACCATTTGGAAAGCGGGCAGGGCTCCCTCCTACCAAGCAAGTTATTTTTTGTTTCATGCAAGAGAGACGTAGTGATCGATACACGAGTGCGATGGCCGCCTGAAACGCTTTGCCTTGTGCAAAACTTACGACTTCATTCGCTGACTGGAGCCCCGTGGCTGTTTTGCTGTTGTTTCCATTCTTGATTTCCTTTTTTGTTCCACAGTATCTTGCTTCCATCTGCATTGGATACTGGATACATGAACTCTAGCCCTCTCTGACGTTTCCCCGGTTGTCGGACCTCCCCCAACGCCTTCAAACTTTGTTGTGTTGCACCGTCTGCTGTTGTAATATGCGTACGTGCCAAGACACATTTTCGCGAAATCAATAGTCTAGTTTTTCCCGTCGATACGTATTTTATGCAGCACATTCCGGTGGAATCAGAACGCGAAGAGGTGAGGGACTGGGTGCTGTCGGTGTGCATGGACGCCAAGATCGATCAGGCCTTGCCGCCGGAGAAGGAAGCCGGTGGGACACTGTATGAGGTACGTACGAACGCTCCCTCCTGCGTGCATCTGTGTCTGCGTGTATTCTGGACGTCGATTATTTTAACCATGTTTCACCCACGTATTGGCACGTTTTTTGGACGGACCAGCCGGGATCACTCACGAGGAAGGCCGCATCAGGTTTTGTTTTCGTTTACGGCAACTGTAGGGCAAACAACAGAAAACAAACACGAACAGCATGGGCGCCTCTTCCTGCAACAAAACGTCTGTCACACCCCAGTGGTTGTAACACGCACCTCTTTGCATCTCCACTTGACATGCTCCACTAATTTTCGTTGTACCCTGCAGTGTGTGCTTCTGACCACGGAAAGTTCGTTTCTTAACCTCTGACGAGTAAGGAAGAGCAAGAGAACGGTAGAGGGAACGACCATCAAATTGAAGACAATAACAACAATTGGTCTGCAAAACATCTCATCACACATCCTTGCATACAACACATGTGTGTGTCCGTCTAACACCTACACAGTCGTACATACCGATCACCGAGAGTCTATTGGAATGGAACACGGGTACAGACAGCATCGACCACGACCACACAGTACTCATCTTACACCTCGAAATAGTCTTTGAGCACCCCCCCCGCAGCTATCCCACCCTCCGACTGACCTGACTTCACGACGCACGCCCGACTTTTAATCGCGTGTGCACTGTTTTACAGGGGCTGTACGCGTCGGAGCTGCCTAGTTGCGTCGTGACTGGCCTTCCGGTCCACAAGCGAGACCTTATTCAGGTGCGCGTTTGTTCGTTGTGTGGAGGGTGGGGTGACCTGGTTTGTTGGTTGTGAAAACAATTGATGATGTGCTAGCTGCTGCTGTAGACTTTGCAGTGATACGTAATGGTACTAGATTTCCTCCCGACGTTGTTCCAAGATGCAACTAACTACAGAGCGAGGACGGTTCAGGTTCCAGTTTTTCCGACCCTCGTCCCGCCCCCTTCTTCCGTGTCGCTCTGCTCTGGCCTCCGTTCCTTTCTAACAATTGGAACGCCCGCAACAACAACGAAAAGGTCAATCATGCAAGAGCGAACAAGCGAGACTGGAACGCGTACGTTCGTATCTTCCGGCGGTGTCCGTGGACAGGGGTAGACGCCAGTCCTCCGTACTGATGAATCGAAG